TCTTCAGTACAAAAGACTATGCAGCAATAAAGCTGAAAACTTGAGAGCTCCCATAAAAATAAAAAATAAAAATTATCCTTTCCTCATATACCAATTCATCATCATTCATGGATATCTTCCCAAAGAAAGAAAAATCAAAGCAACCCAAAATCATGTTATTATTCTACCTTTTCACTTTTATTTTTCTCGATTTCAGCCTCGTCTCGTGCAAGCAATCGGACAACATGCCCTTAACCGAGTCGGACTACCGAGCCCTCACATCAATGAAGGCCCAACTCATCGACCTCAATCGGGCCCTCATCAGCTGGAACGGAACCCGGGCTCGAACTTGTTCCTCTTGGGCCGGCATCAAATGCGTTACGGGACGAGTCACATCCATTCAGCTCCCATGGAAAGGTCTACAGGGCCGGATATCCGAGTCAATCGGGCAGCTTCGAGCCCTCCGCCACCTCAGCGTCCACGATAACGGGCTTGTGGGGTCCATTCCAACGTCCATCGGGCTCCTTCGGAATCTCAAGGGTGTTTACCTTTTCAACAACCGGCTTTCAGGCTTAGTTCCACCCTCGATCGGTAACTGTTTGAATCTACTCGCTATTGATCTTAGTAACAATCGGCTAACTGGCTTTATTCCGCCCAATCTTGCTAACTTGACGAGACTGTATAGAATAAATTTGAGTCGAAATTTGATTGCCGGGCTTTTGCCGAACGAGTTGGGTAGTCTTTCGAGGCTGAATTTTCTAGATTTGTCGAACAACACTCTCGACGGGGAGATCCCGGTTTTTTTATTTGAAAAAATGGCGAACCTTTCGGTTTTGAACTTGAGTGACAATAACTTCACAGGCCAAATTCCAGATACAATTGGGAATAATAATGTTTCTAGTTTGACCTCACTCGATTTGTCACGAAATAATCTGACTGGTGAAATCCCAGTTTCCATTGCTAATATAAAAAACCTTTCTTCTTTCGATGTTTCGTATAATGACCTTTTCGGCCCCGTCCCGCCTGTTCTTGCCAAGAAATTCAACTCCACTTCTTTTATTGGCAACATTCAGCTCTGTGGATACAGTTTTTCGACTCTTTGCGCTTCTTCTTCTCAAGAACCCGGGAATAATCCTCCTTTTACTTCTCAACAGGCACAACAAAATCATCACAAGCTTCGAAAAAACTTAATCTTTATATCAGCCAGTGCCCTTTTTTTAGTAGTTATACTCATTTTATGTTGTATACTCCTCTGCTTCTGCCTGATGATGAGAAAAAAACGAGCTGACAAAAGTGGAAACTCAGAACCGATGCCAGCTGGCAGCTCGGAACCCGAAATGGGCGGGAAGCTGGTTCATTTTGACGGGCCATTTGTGTTCACGGCTGATGATTTATTGTGTGCAACTGCTGAGATAATGGGAAAAAGTGCGTACGGGACGGCTTATAAGGCGACATTGGAGGATGGTAATCAGGTTACTGTGAAAAGGCTGAGAGAGAAAATGACGAAGGCCCGGAAAGAATTTGAGATCGAAATCGGTCAGCTCGGGCAGATTAGACATCCGAATATTTTAGCATTGAGAGCTTATTATCTTGGACCGAAAGGGGAGAAGCTTCTTGTCTATGATCACATGCCTAACGGGAGTCTCGCGTCCTTTCTCCACGGTAAGCTAATTCGATAAAGTTTGAATCTTTTTTCGATGATTTGCTGTCTTTTTAGCCATAATAATAACTCCTGTCAGTTTTAGTCATTTGTCAATGAAGATCGGAAATTCTTTCGGGAAATTCTAGTAAAAAAAGGCGCACTTTTTACTTGATAAAGTTTGAATCTTTTTCGATAATTCGCTGGTTTTAGCCATATATCTCCTATCATTTTAGTCATTTGTCATTGAAAATCAGAAATTCTTTCGGGAAATTCTAGTCAAAAGGGCACATTTACTCGATAAAGTTTGAATCTACTTCGATAATTAGCTGGTTTAGCCATGAATCTCCTATCATTTGTAGTCGTTTGTCATTGAAAATCGGGAGTTCTTTCGGGAAATTCTAGCCAAAAGAGCACATTTTACTCGATAAAGTATGAATCTTTTTGGATAATTAGCAGGATTTAGCCTCATAACTATTTGATTTTAGTCATTTGTGATTGAAAAATGTACATGATGATCCCCCAACAGTCAG